TTTTTTTTTCGTGGTCATGGCTGGTAAGCTAGTCTTTAACCTTGGTACTCTTTGGGATTTTCTGAAAGCTCTAATATCGTAACTGTAGCGAGCTCGAGAGATGGCATAATATAATAGTTCTATTGAAAGTCACAAATGACATATGTGAAATCTTCTAGAGCCGAACGCGTATTTTTCATTTCGAGAGTTTGCATTTATTTTGGAAGGCGATGTGCACTTGAGATACCTCAGCTTCAGCGATCCTCTTGAGTTCGAAAGGGAACTTTGTAAAGCGAGTCCATATAAATTAGATATTGGAGCAGTGTACAACTATCCCGTGAGCCTTGATCTTTTAGAAGTTTTTTGTTGAAATATTGGCTAGGTACTTCATGACTGGGCCGGTTTGCTGGATCTTTCTAGTTGTCATTCGTACTACTGTTTTTTTTTACTACTGGGTTTAAATTTGTTTTTTCTTTTCAGTCAACTTTGCCTGGTTTTTTTAAACTTAGTAGTTCTCATTTAGCCAAAAGAAAACAAGAGACATGCCAACTTTCATCCCGTTGAACGTGAATTAGTTTTTGATATAGACTTAACAGATTATGACGATGTACGGTCGTGCTGCAAGTATGTTTTTTTTAAGAGTTTTGATTTATCTAATGGCTCGATATTGTGCTATAAATGAACTGTTTTCAGAGAAGCAAAGGTGTGCGCTAAATGCTGGCGGTGGATCTGTATTGCCATTCAAGTCCTTGAACACCACTTGCGCAGTCAGTAAAGTTGTTTTATGCTAGTTTAATTCTAATATTTACAAGATTATGAAGCAATTTTTATGCAATTACCAATCTTCCTTCTTGATGACTAATCTGATTGTGGGGTTGACCTTTAGAGGTATTTGGTTTCAAACATCTGCTTTGGGTTTTTTCTGGCAGACGTGGAATTCATTGCTGGGTAGCCGATCAAGCTGCGAGGAAGTTATGCAGTGGAACCCGTTCATTTGTTGCTCGATATCTTTCTCTTGTTGTTGTATGTTATAAGTGACTAGAAAATTGTTAACTTGTGTTGCGTTACTGACTTTTTAAGGAATTTCAGGGAAGTAGTAAAACAGTTGTGATGAAAGGAAAAAAGGGCTACATCCATCCTTTAAGACGAAAATCGTATGAAATAATTATCGAAAGGTTTTTTTCTGGTTTCTACTCGCCCGATTTTTCTAAGTACAGTGATGCATTTTTTTGCTGGAAAGTGGCTGGGGACTGTGATTTTTATACGTTGTACCCTAACTACCTTTTTTAGCGAACATTTAGAAAGGCTGGTTTTTGAGCAAGGGTGGATGGAGGATGATAAAATCGATGAAATAGTTAGTACATGTACGGCATCAGAAGTGAAGTTGGAACTGGAGAAGATTATAAACGATGTGAAGAAGTATGCGTAACGTTGAACTCTCGTCATTTTAGTTTTCTGATGCTTTTTTTGAAGTTATACTGAGTAAAAAATGTTTCAGCGAACCGTCATTGGAAAAGCGGTGGCCGAATCTTAGAAGGAGGCTTGATCCAGTCATGATAGCAAAATGTGGTGCTAGCGAAGAGGAGGTTTGTCATACCTGGTACACAGCAAAAATAATAGGATGATTTTCTTGATCCAGCGAACTAATACTTAGTTATTTTTATTTCAGGTAGGGAGCAGTGATGCAATAGCTCACTTCCAAGGTTTTATCATGTACCACTCCTATCCACGGTTAGACGTAAATGTTACAACGGGGCTTAACCACCTGTTAAAAAGCCCTTTCTGTGTTCACCCAAAGACGGGTTGCGTCGCAGTCCCCATAACTTCTGCACAAGCTAAAAATATTGATCTCGCCAACGCCCCTCGCATTGAGTTCGTGTTTCGCTGTTTTGTTTTTCGTTATTTTAAGATTAAAACTAGAGGAGTGCTCTTGAGAAATCCTTGTGCGGATTGTTTTCCTTTTAATTTTATTGTTTCAGTGTACTTCTGGCGGAGTATCGAAATGCGAGTAAACCCGATATGCAGCAAGAAAACAGAATTTTAGGTTAGACAACGGATATTTCTGTAACAGATTTTTTCACGAAACGTGAGCACAGTGGAATTTTTTTTTCTTTTCTTCGCGGATCTTCCACTATCTGATATCTTTAGGGTATAAGCATACGTCGCTCGCCCCTTATGTTGAGACGTTCGAAAGGTTTGTCCGAGAGATAGTTGAAGGCAAAAAGGAGGACTAATAAATGGCTCAGGTTAAACATCGCTGTTATTTGACTTTGATGATTTCAAAAAAGTTTTACAAACCTTTTCCTCCTGCAAAAAAACCTTCATTGCTTCCACAGAAGCTACACAACATATATGAGCCGCTTGCACCAAAGGTTACGTCATCAATTAAACACTATATTCGCAATTGTTTTTCTGGCAGAATCCGTTTATGTTAACAAGCGGCCGAAAAGTTAATAGTAAAGAATAGACATTCTTAGCTAGACACTTATGTTGTGGGCGCAGTTCATAAACTGTTGCTCTGGGGATTAATTCGGAAAATTTTTTTTTTTTTTTTGAAATTTCAGGAGAAAATCTAAAAATTACAGCATGGGAAGACTTTTTGATTTTTCCAGATTTTTTTTTTAGGTGATTCATTCATGGACCTCCACTTAGTATATCCTTGCACGTAGTTTATTGGTATGGAGTGACCAATTTCAGTAATTTCATGGCTACAACAGAGCAGGCTGGAGTACGACATACTTTTCTAGTTAACTTTTTTGGCATGGTACGGATGCAAGTGCTGGTTTGCCGGAATATTATTGAGTGGGTTTAAATATAAATGTAGCCCAAATTTATGAGACCGCATGAGAAAACTGATTTAAAGTTGAATAATGGGTTGCTAGCTACCTTTAGACCCCTGAGCAGCTCCCACTCATTTTCTTTCAAGTTCTATGAAAACTACAAGTCAAGCGGACCTTAATGCAAGTGCTCTATTCCTTCCACTGTAAATCCTTGTAACATGTACTCGTTAAATCTAGATCAATTTCCCAAATTATTGTCTGTATACAACTACTACAAGATTGGCCTGTAATAAAGCAATATTACTATGCATTGAACGAACATTTTCAAAACATTTTTGGGCAATACGGATTCGCCGTCTCGGCGTCTGCATCTTTGCTGTTTTTCAATATTTCGCGAGAAGTCGCCCGCTTACCTACCCATGCCTTTTTATTTTAAGAAGGCATGACATCGCTTGGCACGTCTCCATCGACGAAAGCCGACAAACCGCTTCACCATGAGCAAATACAGTTAAACCGCACAAAGTTTTCCATTCCGCTTCTGACTCTTTCCTGAGAATGCTCTTGTTACACACTGGTTGTGGGAATAGAAGTCCGTTAAGCGCACCTTTTGGCAAAAAGTAAGAGAAGTCAAGACCAAAAGTGACGATCTTGAAGTACGCAACGCACGGAAGTATTAGATTTCTCTACATCAGTTGGTGAGAACAAATGGTAAAAACGGTCTCTTAAGGAAAGTGTGGGATTGCGGAACTTAAGCGCAGGAGCGGACGCATCGGGGGAGCAAAGGAGGATCATGCAAAAGTTAGAAGGTACGGGACCGGTTTGCAACTCAAATGTCTGAGTGAGCTGACAACATTCGGGAATGACCGCTTCTCGGACCGGGCGGTACTACGCAAAATAGCTGAAAAATGACGCCTTTGTCCGTGCTACGGTACTGAAAGCTCCGAGCAACTTAAAATGGTGGTTCCAATCGAATATGAATACTAGAGTTCTAGTACCCGGCGGGACCTAAAATGCTTCTTGCAGGTCTCACGCAAATGAGGCTTTACAGGAATGGACGTGGTTCAATCAGGGGGTACGCTGCAAGAGGGAATTAAGAGGTATGCACTTCTAGAACCTGAACCTCCTTACCGATAGAAGGGGTTAGGTTTGATTTCAGATTTCACGCCCAGTTTTTGGAAGAGAACAAGACTACAACTGATTTAATTCTGTTGAAGTAAGGTAGTTGTGTAACAGGAAGCTTCACAACCACCTGCCTTTATTTTAAAAACCCAAAACCAGAAAGCCACATCCGGCTAAAGTTCTTAACGCACTCAATGATAAGCGACAAAACTCAAAATCAATATACGCCCCCAGCGATATGCTATTACAACATCAGTAGAACGCATTTCATCAGTCCCTGTTACAAAAGTTCCACCCTTTATACTTAACAATCAAACTTCGGATTGCTACTTATTATGGTAAAACTTATAGCAAATTACTTCTTCCTCTCTTTAAAACACTTGACTTTAGCCGATGAGAGAACTGGACCCTCCATATCTTAGCTAATATGACGAGCCAAGAGTGCAATTTATATTCTCTTTAAAAGACAGAAACCCTTCACATTAGGTTTCCATTTACCTTCCTTCTTCAAACTTTTTCCCGATTTATTTAGTTTTGATTTCGCAAAAGAATTAGACAAGAATTTTAAGTCAGAAAAAGACTGGCGAAACCGGCGACAAAACACAAAAAGCTTTGCTCGGCCTTTTTGAAAGATTCCAGCTACCTATCAACTACCACCATATTACAACAACAAGTACATTCCACCTGAGGAAGACTCACTTTTTCGTCTAGCTTCAGTGAGTTTTGCCCAAATAAACTCCCTATCGAGAAGTTATAGCTTGGTTAAAAAGTGGTAGATACTTTCAAAAAAATAAAATATAGGAATATAAGGAAGCAATTTGTAGTTTCTAGGAGCACAAGACGTACAAAGAAGTTCAACAGTGATTCGGAACAGAACAAAATTACAGTACATGACTTTATTTTCTCGAAACTCCTTGGGCAAGTCCCAACTCAACTGAGAGACAGAAGTTCCTGATCATCTTCCTCCATTGGTTGTACCTCTTCTTCCTGCTTAGTCATCGCAACAACCTCTTGTGATGGATCAGTTCTGTAATTAATAGAAGCATGAAACTTCTCAACAGCAGCGATTTAAAACAGATGGAACACTGTACTGGCAACATCTGAGGTCCATTCTCCAGATTCACGTAAAAGAACAACTTACATCACTTTTCTGCCCTCGATTATCTCTGTCGACAACTCGAAATACTGGTTGGGGTGAGTTATGACAGTACCGAGGGCATTGTCGTCCAGTTTATGGCTGTACTCGAAGTAAGCGGTACACGCTTTGTCGTATTGAGCACTCTCAGACAATTTAGTTATCTTAAATCATTGAAGGCATGGAGGACTTGTGAAAGTATATATCAAACTCTTCAATTACACAGTGCTGCTAGTTAAAACGAAAATACGATTAGAAAATCAAATAATGGAGGAAAGAAATGAAGTAAAATTTTTTAATTTTCTCTTTCTAAAACATTTGACATAGTGAACCACATACTTGCCTTTTGGATATAGTTCTCAGACAATCCGACGCTCTTTAACCGTTGTGTTAATATTTCTGGAGAGCAATGTTTATACGGACAACCTGCAACGCATTTTAATTCATCAGTCAGCGAACCCCTGGGAAATTAAGAGGAAAACTGTCATCAAATTATTACAACGATGCATAAACATTCCTAACCGTGACATTCGATGGGAGAAGGAGCAGCACCTAAAATGATTCTCGTACATGAATATGCAGAATATTCAACACGTCGTCCTTCCTTCCCATAATTGTGCCGTATATTATAGGCGTACTGCTTATCAAACTAAAGCTTAAGTCATATGAGCATCATTAACATAGTAATCATAACAAATAAGTTTGTTAAAAGCTTAACTAACTTTCTCCTTATCTATTTTTTTGGTGAATTCGGCTCTCCAAAATGCTAAGGAATCCTCTAAAGATAATCCAATTCCTTTCAAAAATAATCCGTACTGCATACGAGCGTTATGACGAAGGTGATGATTTGTACGCAGGCACTGATGGATGTGGCGCATACACAAGGGGAACGATTTAACTGCCAGCTTGAACACAAATTCATCAATACAACGAGATATAGCTTCATTCCGACAGAGTGAACTATCAGTAAATTCACTTGCCTGATCAATTGTTTCTGGTGACACTTTCTTGTTCCCGTCTTTACCGTCATACTGCTTACCAAGATGGCAACTTCTATCAGATAAACCACTCAATAACGGTAAAAGGCGATCTTCTTCTTCTTCTTCAACAAAACCAATGAATTTGCTTGCTTTCTGAAAACAAAGAAACCCAGATTTATTGAGAAAGCATGAGGATACAAAAGCTCGCTTAGCGGCCATCCAACTTACTGCCATTGACGCTGACATCATCATCCTGAACTGTGAACATACAACTCCAACAAGGTCATCCTGAGAAAGGTAAACAAATCCGTCCCAAATGTACGGACATCCTTTCAAATAATCACTAACTACTGAAAACGGAGCCTTCCAGAAATCAATACATCGTGCCTAAATCAAGCGGCAAATAAAATATATACTCCATCGTGCCTCAAATCACCGTAAAACTCGACATTAATCACAGTAAGTGTGATAAACATTTCTAATCCTCTACTAGAACGAATTAAAAGCATAGCTTACTTTTTGGACACTTATCTGATTTGCGTTTGAAAGTTCACTGCTAATATCATCTTTTTCTGCTGTGGTTAAGACATCGAACTTAAAATCATTTGCTGCAAGGAAACGCGCAATTAAGGACCGATTTTTGATCTCCTGCAAAATTTCGGAATAAATTAGTATATTTCTAATTAGGAAATTAAACTAAATGTTACCCTTTGGAATCTAAACCTGAACAATTCTAACTCTTGTTGAATGAACCATTTTGCTCGCTCTGGTACTCTACAGAAAGCTAAGCGAAGTATATAATGAGATGCAAGATCCCATCTGCTTTCCTCAGCAACATTTTCAGGGCGACATATACCACAAGCAAGAGGCATCAGTTTTGAGAGGTTCTAAAACCACAATTACAATTATAAAACCCGGAACGTCACCTGCAACAGCCTTCACTACTAATTTTAAAATGAATTTTCAGAAAATCAGTTCCAGTTCATAAGCCTCCAATAAATGATCTGCTCCAGTTGGCAAAAGCTTCGCCTGTATTATTACACCAATATCTGTCAGAATTACCAATTCATACCCAGACAGAGACAGAAGGACATTATGAACTTGAATTTAGAATATTTTTCTATAACAATTCAATAAATAACCCTCGATAAAGCGTCTTTGAACTCTTCCAGATTTCGAGGGAATTGCTCCTTCGCCGTTTCAACAGCTCTTAAAACCTTCAGGCGACGCAAAGCCAACTGTTCAAATTCGACCAGTGTGACATCTTCAGTTGGTGGATCTTTATACATTAGAAGGCTTAGTTCATCGGATCCCTGTAGCGGTAAATATATAAATTCCCATTTTCTGTTAAAAAAAATAACTTTAAATATTTATTTGTAAAACAACCTTATGATTCGCAGAAAGTACCGCATTTGCCAAGGATCTTCGCAGTGTCAGTGGATTAACGTCAAACTGCATGATTAAAGGTACAAGCTTCTAAAAATAGTGACTAAAATTCAAAGTACAACACAAAGGTAAGACACCCATTATACGCATAAATAAAAAACAAACAAATTAGGACTTCTAAGTTTTCCCTACAAATTTTAAAATGCTTTTGCAAGATAACCAGTAATTCTGGCCTCTACCACATATAAGCTAAAAAAGAGTTACCAGTTGCAAAGCCGTTTGAATGACGGTCCCTTCTTTCCTAATAAACAAAAAAATTTACATTTTTTAGCTAAATAATTTAGCAGATACAGGCACTTTTATTCAGGATTCGGGTACATCACTGATAAACTAGGAAGATTTTGAAACTTTCGCTACTTAAAAAACTAACCTAAATTCAAGAATAAAAATATCAATTTTAACAACACAATTGCTACTGGAAAAAAAAAAAAAAGAGTAAACTTTACACACTTATCGGTCACATCTACATCGAATTAATGACTAAATTCCCGCAAAACCAATCTGCAATAAAAACAAATGAAAAATTCCGTCAATTTTTTAGTCCACTATTCAATTTTCGAATTTTCCCGCGCCGATAACTGCAGCCTTATACCGCTTGTTGGACAGTTCACGTTGTCCGTTCTCATCGGAACCACTGGAACAGTTCATTTTTACCCGGATACTTATACTTATCGGGGCATTCATTCCTAATTTTTTGCAAAAATGTTTGTTGTGTCGGGACCAGGAAAAAAACCTCTCTTGCTTCTTCACCACCTAAATTTCTTTTTTTGTGATGTTAAAGAGAAAAGGTGCGTTTTTAAATCATCTAGTAATTTTAAATATTTTCAAATCGTGTTGGCCTCATTCTTAAAACGCAAAATATTTGAATTATTTTTACAAAAAACTAATTTTTCTCATTACTGCAAGACTGCTTTTGCTGCGTTACTTTTACAGTAAAATTATCTCGTTTTATTCTTTTTAAGCTAAGCTTTTCTCCTTTTTATTCTTCATCTTACTTGACAACTGTTTCTTCCACTTTTATTATTTTTTTGCTTTTTAAATCTTTATGCGGAAATTCTCCATGTTCTAAACTTTTCAAATTTCTGAACAGTATGATACCTCGCAGCTGGGAATATTCAGCACTGTTTCGCATGAGATTAACTTCAAAATTTCCCTCCACTCGCCTCTTCCCCCTCCAAAAGAAAAATAAGAATAAAAATAAAAATACCGTACAAATTCAGTTTTATCGGCACATAAATTTCCACATGAAATAGATTTGTTAATAGAGTTTAAAAGTGTTGCGAAATCCAGTAAATCTGCTTTTTCCAACAACGTACGATATAGTTAATTCAGAGTTGATCGTAGTGTACTTATTTTGAAGCATTACTTTGATAAAGTTGGGGCAGATTTTCAGTACTATATAGAACCAATTTTTTACAGTTGTTTTTCGTCTTTCAGTGTACGTATTTTTATTGACTACTAGGTAGACAAAATATAGATATAATCCAACACTCAGCAGACAAACAGTAGTGGAATAAAATCAATAAGAAATGAATACAAGAGACAAAACAGACAGACGGTCTTGTAGTAGAGGTATTGAAAACTTGAGGCAACGATAAGCACGATAGACAAAAGACGACCTCCATCATTAGAACAGGGAAACCTACTCTTATAGCTGAGTCAAGGTGGTATCCTCGGAACTCCTCAGGGTGTACGATCTTTAGCAGTATAATTGACCAAACACTTGGAGCAAAGTACAGTATTTGGTCTAATAATACAAAAAGTTGAGTCTGTACTGTATTTAGAAACTGATATATCAATTCGCTTTTCTGCACAAACTTTTAATTGCCTTGACGATGATACTTACTGAAGAGCTAAAAATTACTATATTGTGAACCTATTCACTACTGGTATAAAAGCATAAATGTGGAAAATTTTGTGAAATAAAAAAGATCACTCCTGTTTTAAACCTATTTAGAAAAACCTATCTTGATTGGTTTTTAGAGAACTGGAGTGGTTTTCATATAAACAGCATAAACTTTGTCTGTGGGATCTGGCATAAATAAGCATAAATTTTGATTCTTTCGCTTTTAAAACTTGAACCACGTTTTGTGAGGAATATAAGTGAT